TTTTGAAAGCGGTCACAATAAATTCTAACTTAACTTTTTCTAAAACTGATAGTAATTATGTTATCCTAGGCGTTTTTCAGAGTTTATCAATCATTCTGAAATCCAACATCATTCCTAACTAAAATATAACGATCAACAGCTTTCTTAAAAGGTCATTTATCGTCTTGGAAGGTTAAGAGCAGTGATAAATTTCAACACTGGTTCAAGTAAGCTTATACAGTTGATGTTTCTTCCAAATATCTGTGTTGCTTCCTGTCAGTGAACGTTGAAGAACTTTAAATCTGGACACAGGATATCTAAATATTACTTGTATAAGAGGTTTAACACTCATGGTTTGGTTTAAATGACTTGTTATGCATAGTGATGATTGTCTTAACATCTCTACTGTTCAACCAAAAAGAAATGTGAGATCATTCAGTCTTCGTATAATTTTGTGGTGCTTTACTAAGAAATGCCTTGTATAGAACATGATAGAGATCGGGGAACAGTTGTCATATTCATTCGGAATTGAATACCTTTTCTACCCACTGTAACTGAAGTGATCATTCGACAATAAAAAAATATGATCTATTTTTGTAATTGTTCGTTTATACTTTGATTAGACAAGTTTTGCAATGTGGCCACCATTCTAAGTGGTTGGGCATCACAGTGGACTTTGAACTGTTGATATTAAGTGATTGGAGACGATCGACTGGAAGCCTTCTTTGATCTAGGTTTCGTGCTAGTTGGCACTGACTGTGGCTCTGGGTGACGCAGCTTCAAATCTCATAACGGACATAAGTTCCTTCAAAGTTGAGTTGCTGACGAATGACAACTAGCATGAAAACTAGGTTCAAGGCTTCCTGTCGAGTGATTCGAACCATCTAGTATCACCAATTGTTTTTTTTAGTTTCACTTTATATAAGCATTAGTTTCGTCTTCTCCCCTTATCGACAGATCATCACTCATCGATTTCAACGAGTTATCAAGTGGGATTAGAAGATTTACTGACAGGTATTTCTTCTTGCCCTTTAACATTTTGTCATTATACATAACATAGAGGATTTCTTCCATGTCGTTAATTCAGAGTTGAAATGATAATGGCACCAAAGTGACATGACAGTATACTCTTCATTACCTGCATATATTATTAAATAAGGAGGCGGCATTTTTAAATCTGACACGGCACCACATAAGGTACCAGTTAATGAGATGCAGTGAACTGTGCACCTAACACCGACAGTGACTACATAATTTCACACAAAGACTACATACATGGTATTTCCAAATAATAGGAATTGTAGCTAAGGGGAAAGAGTTGGATGTGGTTGCATCCTCTGAGCTGCTTGGCTTAATTGTGAAGCCTTTATTGTCCTTCTAGGTAACATCTTTAGTAAACACTTCACTGTGGGGCCTAAATTTATCTAATAATCATTTTAAAGAAAGTTAAAATAAGTGGAATTGTAATAATACATACACACACATAAATTCCATATTAGATAAGTTCATTTGACATAATACACAGTAATACGGCCCTAATAAGTAGATGACATTTTGAGCTTAGCATCACTGATGATATGATTATAAGCAATGAACTGTGTTCGAAACGTCATCCACTTATTAGTGCTGCATCATTTCGTGTTATGTGGAATCATGTTCTACCACAGTAACCATATTCTACTCTTATATTAATTTTTCATTTCAAGATATTGAAACTTTTAAATTTCTGAATTTGCTTTACTCCATTTTTTTCAAATTTAATTTTTGGTGCACTCATTTACACATTAGTAATTAATACTATCATTACTTAATTAGATGTCACTCTAAGCTGAAGGTATTTTCACAGAAAGTGAATATTACATCTAAATTCGTTTTTGAGATGGAAACTGGATATACATTTCAGTAGATGTAGAGTTGTAACAAATCGAAGACTTACAAGCGAAAACCGACAAGCTGGTCGAAGAAGCAGCAAAGACAGGACTCCAGGTGAACATAGACAAGACGGAGGTTATCAGAATAACCACCACCAACAACAACAGCAGCAACATCCAGCGCCAATCACCATCGATGGGAGGGATTTGAAGGAGGTTACTTCATTCACTTATCTAGGGAGCATTGTCTCAACTACAGGAGGAACGGACGAGGATGTCAAATCGAGAATCGGGAAGGCGAGAAACACATTCATCAACCTGAAACCAATCTGGAAATCTTCGTCACTCAGCCTGCATCAACAACAAAATTCGGATTTTCAATACAAACGACGTCAAGTCAGTCAGTTCTTCTATACGGATGGATCAGAAACTTGGCGGCGGGTCACAAAGAATATTTCCAACAGCTTCTTTCAGACCTTTATCAACAACTGTCTTTGTTCTATACTGAAGATTAGATGGCCGGAAAGAATCACCAACAAGAAACTATGGGAACAAACAAAACAAGAACCAATCGCCCAACAAATATGCAGGAGAAAGTGGAGATGGATTGGACACTCGCTGAGGAGGCCGCTGGGTGACATCGCGCGTCAGGCCAATGCTCGAGTGGAACTTGAAAGGGAAGCGGCGAGTGGGACTTTCAAGGGTGACACGGAGGAGATCGTGTAAAGAAGAGTTGAAACAGTATGGACTAACATGGATGGAGGTGAAAAGTACAGCAGAAGACAGAAGCAAGTGGAGACGTGTAGTTGAAGCCCTATGTTCCACTAGGAACCCAAAGGAACAATAATAATAATAATAATAATAGTTGGGTTTTGACACAATAATACATTGGTTTTGTGATCCATCGATGTAATCACTATCATTGAGTTCTGGATTAGAATTTCACCTCATAGAAACAACGAACAGGTTTACAGGATAAAAAGAGCTCATTTTATTTCGTGGATTCTTTTCAACTACATACATGCCGCTAGATTCATTGCACTTTAAAAAAGAAAGTATGCTCGTTAACCCAGTCAAAAGTAGATAAGTATCCTACTCCGCATGTCCACTCAAACTGCATTTATTACTTCACTTTTTCTTGCGGCAGCAAGTACACATAGGAAGTACTCAGAGGAGAGCGTCTACTAGATTCGCTGAGCATGTTCCTAAAAGTCACCGTTTTGAAGGCAGCAAAATATTCTCAAGTGCAATCTCCAGACTCCTAAATGACACAGGACACACAGTGGAGATTAGTCAGGCTTGCAAAATAACCAATACGCAATGAAAAGCATGGTAATTTCGGTCTGCAGAAGCCATTGGCATCAAAAGACTTCGACCTAACCTATGCATACAGAAAGAGACTGTGACTAATCTCTCACTACCCTGCTAACCATAATTATTTTGTTCGTGTGCTTTTGTATTTTGTTCTGTTGCGTAACATTCCACTCAATCTTAATTTTGATTCTCACTCACCGAGTTGAACTGACTATTAAGGTCCCAAGTCTACTAAATGAAATTATTTTTATCTATTTTATAATTTCAATTCAGTATTCACCCCCAACCTTCTGAACAATCCGACATAATATGCATAAATTCACTGTGTTTCTCTCTCTTGTATTTTGTCTTAAGTCCATCCTTGTTTCCAAGAGAAATCAGAACTGCACGCCTCTGTCTAATTACTATATAAATAGTTACTCTTTTAACACTAAATAATTGTATGCTTACATCACCTTTGTAATTATGTTGCTCCCTACGTATAATTTGATAGCATTGTAAAAAGTATGTTCAGATACATTTTGTAACATCTAGTTGATTTATTTAGGATGTACGCAGTTGAAGAGAATTCACGAAATAAAACCACCTCGTATTATCCTGCACATATGTGGTTCTTCTTTCTTTATTCGAACGAAATAACAGTTTTGTTTATCCATCCTTTTGCTGTGTATAAGTTGATTTTTAGAATTTTCTAGTCAGTGATCATTTTGACAGTAATTAATCTTTAAGACTTTAATAATCAACTCTGACTACATTATTTCCAGGTCTTTAAAAATATCCTTTAAGAATTGGTGTTGACACCTAGAATGAGACACTGAGGTTATGATAGCGTTTATGACACTGCGAAACGTGACAAATATCACTACACTTTCGTTTTTTTAAGCAGAGAGTTTATTCATTGTCTCATTAGGCTCATCCATATTTATTTCATGCTGTCATCAATAGTACTATTATTATTTTTTTAGACAATAGTAGATAATCTGTAGAATTTTGAACTGATGAGCATTGTGAAATATATTCAGATTTATTCGAAAGTAGTGTAATGGGCAGCATTTAACTGTATCCTTTTTTATGACTAAGAGATATAACTACTGAAAGCGTAAGATGAGTTTCTGAGATTAGGAGTGCTGTGCTAAGTAAACAGGAAAAGCCAGTCAATAAGTTTATGCATCTGAATTGATTGAGGTAACAAGGATAGGTGCTACTCATTTGGAGTCATTGCTTTTCTCCACGAACAATGTTACCTGATGTAAGATTCAGCTAGAAAAGAGTTGAGGGTAATCAGGACGAAAAAAGTGACACCAATCCATGAACTATTTAACTGTTGATTTGAGTCGCTGATTGAGGCCCTTTAGACTCTAAGAATTAATGAATTGGATACCCGTTCTGCGTCCACTTCTCTTAATTTAATTAAATCCCCATTTATATCCATGCAACTAACTATTCTTCTTTCCTCACAGTTTCGCTTATTGTAGTTTCATTGTATTTCTTCTCTACATTTATGCGTGCCTTAATAAAATGTGGCAACTTGAACCTGAGCAGAGTTCCATGTTGAAAATCATTAAATCATCTTTGAGTCAGTGGGTTGCAGACAGTATGTACGATTTAATATACAATGTCTGTAAATAATGACTGAAAAGAAGTTGGTTCAAAGAAGCTTTAGAAACACTGATCCTCAAGCAACTTGCCTAAATTAAAAAAGCCTCAGTATCGCTTAGACCGTAGAATTTGGTAATGTCACTAATGAGAGATGAAAATTAGCTAAACATGTGTATTAAATACTCACTAGGATAAGACAGTGTGTTCATATTGTCCTTCCTCTTCTGTAAATTTTAGACTAGCCTCCTACTGGTCGTTGGGAATGAATAATCCAGTTTCAGTGTATGCTGCAGGTGTACAACATCATCTAATGAATCCAACTTACATGTATAAAGCTGAATCATCTCCTTCAAATCCTACTTCACCAAGCACTATATCCAGTCCCTCTATTCCTCATCACTTACATACAAAAAATTATCCAAACACAACTGCACACAATCTATTCTATTCAGATCAAATTCTGAATACAACTAATACAGCAATAAATCTGTCATCGGTATTAACAAATTCCTTTGAAACATCAACACAGCCAAGCAATAATACTTTCGATTTATTAAATATTAGAAATTCAACCTTTTGTTCGGAAGCCAACTTATCTGCATCCTGCTCATCCTCTGTGTCATCGACCTCCTCCGCCTCCTCTTCATCATCCACAGCGTCGTCAGGGACAAATACAGCATCGAATTCAACTGACGAACTACCGTCTATTCAAATTCCCATGTTATACTCATCAACATCATTTGATATGAGTCAACAGAATAATAGTGCTCCTATTACTTCTGCTATTACCACTATGATTAACAATAACTTTGATTCCACAGAGTCATTGGATGATGTAAAGTATTCGTATATAAGTAATATTAATAATCACTATAATTGTAGTGATTTAGTGAATCCACATAGTTCTACCCCGCTGAATACCGTTAACTATGCAAATATTATGAGTTCATCACCATCGGGTAATGGTGATGAAGAGTATCATCAATTAGGAAGTAAAAGACACCATCAACTTCTTCCTCCTCACCATCAACACCAGCAGCATCATCCTGAGAATGAAGTAAGTTTTTATTTTCACTGATAAGAGAATTAAAGTGAACACCAATGTTAATTATAATTCAGGATTGATCATGAATTGATTTCTATTAAAGAACGATTGGAAACCAGGGACAGTACTCACCTATAACATTAGTTGATGGGCGAGCTATACATTGAGAATTGACAGAAATTAAAATTTATGAGCCATTGGATTTCGTCCCTATGTTTGAATGGTCAACAGCCTCGACTTATAACCTGAAGGTGCTAGGTGCCTATTCTGTAACAGTCTTAGACAAGGATGAAGCAGCTCTCCAGTACTCCTTGGTTTTCGGTCATTCTCTAATTGAAGTTGGTTGTTGATTACTCTTGAAATCAGTCAAGCCAATGCGTGGGAGTTAACTTTATTTAAACGTTGTTAGAAAGGAAGGTAGAATAAACTTGGTTCCAAATCAGAGGAATATAGGGATGAAATGTCAGATAAATGGCTTCGTAGTCAAAGTATGGGTGTATATCAGAGCTAAAATTTACTATGAAAGACTTAAACCGAACATCAAGTCTGTGGTTAATCGTTTATTTCAGAAGCACAGCTTGCCTTGTATATTTAAATACTTGAGTTATGCAAACATGCGGAAGATTCCCGTTTTGATTTTGAAGAAGCTATCTATCTATCTATCTATCTATCTATCTATCTATCTATCTATCTATCTATCTATCTATCTATCTATCTATCTATCTATCTATCTATCTATCTATCTATCTATCTATCTATCTATCTATCTATCTATCTATCTATCTATCTATCTATCTATCTATCTATCTATCTATCTATCTATCTATCTATCTATCTATCTATCTATCTATCTATCTATCTATCTATCTATCTATCTATCTATCTATCTATCTATCTATCTATCTATCTATCTATCTATCTATCTATCTATCTATCTATCTATCTATCTATCTATCTATCTATCTATCTATCTATCTATCTATCTATCTATCTATCTATCTATCTATCTATCTATCTATCTATCTATCTATCTATCTATCTATCTATCTATCTATCTATCTATCTATCTATCTATCTATCTATCTATCTATCTATCTATCTATCTATCTATCTATCTATCTATCTATCTATCTATCTATCTATCTATCTATCTATCTATCTATCTATCTATCTATCTATCTATCTATCTATCTATCTATCTATCTATCTATCTATCTATCTATCTATCTATCTATCTATCTATCTATCTATCTATCTATCTATCTATCTATCTATCTATCTATCTATCTATCTATCTATCTATCTATCTATCTATCTATCTATCTATCTATCTATCTATCTATCTATCTATCTATCTATCTATCTATCTATCTATCTATCTATCTATCTATCTATCTATCTATCTATCTATCTATCTATCTATCTATCTATCTATCTATCTATCTATCTATCTATCTATCTATCTATCTATCTATCTATCTATCTATCTATCTATCTATCTATCTATCTATCTATCTATCTATCTATCTATCTATCTATCTATCTATCTATCTATCTATCTATCTATCTATCTATCTATCTATCTATCTATCTGTCATCATCTTCAATGCCGGCTTTAGTATAAAATGGAGTTATTTAAATTCTCCATGAAGGATATAGTTGTATCTCCTGGCAAGAAATTTTCGATTCCGAAGTCAATAAAAGTGATCAATAGAGACGTAAATTAACAACCAGTCATGACAGTAGTTTTCAGGAGATACAATTATATTATTCATGGATAATTCGAATAAGTTCACTTCATACTAAAACCTCTAATGGAGATATTGTTTAGATTGGCGAGGAAAGCTTCGCAATTAAATCAACCAGCTTAGAGAACACAACTAATTCAAAAAGGTATCAGACTTTATGTACGGTATATCCAGCAGTTTATTTCGACTCCAGAATTTACGTTAATTAATAATAAATGAAAGTAGGCTTGAATTACGCCCGAACCAAAGAGCAAAGGAGTAAAGACATATGAAATAAAACATAGAGTTGAACTTGGGTTATTCGCTCAGTATAAACCTGTTAAAACTGTACGCTAGCGAGTAGTTGAATCGCAAACGATATGTGTTGGTCTAAATCAATTTTTCAGGTTGAGGACGTAGTCAGTAATCGAAACAGTATTACAGTGTTCCTAACTGCGTTGTGTTGTCATGCGTAAGTGTGTCGATTGGAATTTATCGATCAGTCCTGTACTCCGCTGATCAATAGTTTTTATCCATTCCTTTAAGATCAAGAGGGACTGCTAGCTTTTTGCTTCCCACTTAGAAGCTCTTCATTAGTGAATACCCAGAGCGATCTGATCCTGCGGTAAGTACATTTAGCCACTTAACCGAAATCCATTAATAACATTCTAGTGGATTAGTAAACTCACAAGTTGATTCACAAGAAAATAGTTGTGGTAACAAAATTTGTTTTAATTTCTTAACATATTGTCAATTTCGTCTACTATTTTCTTATTTCTCTCTTTGTTTCATGCAAAAGACACTGGTAACAAAGTCATCAGAAGATTTGGAATCAAACAATCATTTTGCAGTATGCAGTTATCCTTCAAATACTTCGTCTTGGAAAAACTCAAAAGAATTGTATTTATCGTCTATCAATAGATCAGTTACTTCTCCAGTGACAAGCACAAATACCACCAGTGATTTACATTCATCTCCAACTCCAATGAATAAATCAGGCACCCCAGACTTACAAAATACAACCAACCAGTACATTTATCACAATTCTGGATTGCTTAATTCACTAACTAACGAATTTATCGAACAGAAGAATGATATTAAGCCGAATACAATGAAACAAGAATTTGAAGTTAATTCACCATTACAAATTCAGTCAAATCCAGCGACATTAACATCACTGACCTGTTCAACAGTCACAACAGCAGCAGAAGCAGAAACGAAGGTCACCACATTATCAACACAGAGGCTAGACAATTCATCGTATAGCTTGAAGCAAGAAAAACTACCATCTCATGAACACATTCAAACTTCATGGTCTAGCTGTAATTCTGAATTTTTGAAATCTGAATACGCAAATCAAGAAGATTCTACTACATCTTATCCACTTTATTTAAATTATACCATACCCATTGGTAAGAATACTGAAACCAGTTGCCTTCCTGTGGATAAAGTGCAGAATTCCAGTGTAAAAGGAGACGTGAGCGATACTACTACTACTACTACTACTACTACTAATACTGCCACTACTAATAATAATAGTAATAATAATATTAGTAATGAGAAGTCAGAGGCTAACAGTTCTGAGCCAAAACAATATAATTACCATGAACATAAGTATTACATTTCTAAAAATATACAAAATATTACGCATAAACCAACTTATCAGATTGCTTTATCACTGACAGCTAACTTTTATCCAACAGTTAAACACAAAGATATTAATTCAGACTGGGAAATGAATAATTCTGATGACTACAACTATACTAAACAGGATATGTCAAAATCTACATTGAATCATCTAAATCCTCTGCACAGTTCTCATCTTCTGAATGAACAACATCAGCATCAGCAGCAACAACAGCAGCAGCATGAAGAGCAGTTAAGTGTGACTAAAGAAAATGAACCAATTTCATTGAATATGTTGAACAGTGGTCATTTAAATTATTACAGTGAGCATCATTCACTTACACAGTGTCCACCTGATAATAATAATAATAGTAATTTTGATAGGTTACCGTATTGTAATGGATATAATCTACCGTCTGTACTTCCTCCTTCTCATAATCCTCTTCAACATGAAATGAAATTTCCACCTTTTATAATGTCTAATTATACTGAACAAATAAATCGTAATAACTATTATTTTCCAGATGAAATGCATAGCCAGGAGTCTGATTTAACTCAGATGAACAATATAAAGTTAAATTATTGTACTAGTTCTATTGATACTACTAATGCAAAAGTTAGTAGTACTAACAACAGTAGTATTGTTAATCATGACGTTTTTGAAAAGTATAATAATGAGTCATATTTGAATGCATATTCAGCTTATGCAGAGAGTTATCCACAAATACTGAATTATCCTCCAGACAGTAATCATGCATCATCGACAAACTACACAAGTACCTACTTGACTAATTTAGACAAAGTGAATAACAGTCTAAGTGGTATGAATGATTCAAGAGACATGTTCGGTAGTGTACCAATACAAAATCCTTTACAATTGTCTATGAGTCAGTATGCTCCAGTTGCCGATAGTGATCATTCCAGTGTACATCCACTTTCACATCAACATCATACTCATCAACATAATCACCATTCACTTCTTCAGCACCATCCGCCGCCTCCTCCTCCTGCTCCTCCACATCATCACCATCATCATCATCATAATCAACAACATTCTGAAGTAATTGATTTCAATTCAGAATGTACAAATAGGTTTATAAATACACTTAACTATCGTCCGTCAAGTAATATGAATGAAGAGTACTGTGCATCGTTATCACCGTCTTCTGAGTTATGCATAAATAATTCGGATCCATCAATACCTTATAAATATTCATCATCACATTTAACTTCTTATGATCCAATGACATTTTTGCATGAAATTAATTTAGCCTCGGTAAACTCAAATCAATTGGATAGAATCAGTCATAGTGAACGTGGACAAAATATCAACAGTTCTAATAATAATAATAATAGTAATAGTAACAATAATAGTAGCAACAGTAATAATAACAATAATAATAATAATAACAATAGTCGTATGTCGGCATTTATGGCAGCCGCTGCTGTTGCTGCGGCTGTTTCACATAATAATAATAACAATAGTAATAATAATAATAATAGCTCGAACACTAATTTAACAAATAATACAAGTATTAAACGTGCTAATGCTAATATAGATGGACAGTTTAATCGACAGACGAATACTTACAATTTGTTAGGACAATCGAATAATTTCTTAATGGTTGCTGCAGCGGCTTCAGCAGCGAATGACTTAAATCTATCCTCAGGTGAGTGACAGTAATCTGTTTATTTTTATGACATATATGTGGTTGGTTTTGAGAAATGTTGGTTTAGCTTCACCAGGAGATAGAAGATTCTAGTGATATTCTGCAAACATATCAGAGTCAGTCATTTAAACGCATATATTAGCAATAAATCAATGTAGATAATATCGGTTAATCATTGGTTATAAATCTGTCAAGAATGTAGACCCGTCAACAGTCGAATGGTGAACGATTCATCCATTTAGTTTCCACTTCTGATGACGATCTAAATCCACTAATCGGGTGTGAAATGTAGGTAGTGTGCTTGACAAGATGACACTGTTTCTCATTTTGCTTCACTGCAACCTGAGATCAGATTTTAGAAGGGGGTAAATATAGCCAGATGATGCCTATTTGGCATAGATTTCAAGATTTCTACCAATTCTTGGCATTGCTGCTCTACTTCAAGTTGAGCAATCAGAAGAGCATACCGTTTAGGCTTAAAAACAGTGACAGGCTCGTGTAGATAGGAAATAAGCATGATAGTTTTGTTCAGAGTTAACTTTAGAGTAGGTTTGTTTGGCAGTGTAACCTAAAATGAGCGGTAAACTCCATCCAAGGCTAAATACTTACACGAGTACGATAGTAAACATTTACGGTGAGGGAAAGTTGGAAAGTACTTTGAAGAGTTCATGAAACCTATCTGAGTCCTAAAGAACTGATTTTTCCTGTGATATTTAAGTCTGAGTCACTCAGTGTTAGTTAGATTATCACACTACTTAACGACGGACGATCGACTGAAATAGGTAATGTATTCCCATAGAGGTATGAACAGCTAAGGTGTGAATTTTCTTAATTTAGGTCTAAAATGAAAAAAAGTAAATGGTTGTAGATATATCCTTCTGATTAGTGTCAATAGACACAGATTCGGATTAAAAAGTCTGAACTTTTTGATGTAAGCATAAAACTTGGGCACTGTGGTAGAGCATAACTCCTGAACTTTTTACTGACTAACTTTTGTGAACATCCACTGTCCGAAATATAACGAACAAACAGACGAGTGAGAATAGTGCTGAATGGTGAACTAAACTCCCAGAGGTTATGGAAAAAGACTTGATACTATCAATTTTAGTCATGTAAATATTTTAAATTCTCCACCGCATGTAGTAACTACTTTGAGTCTATCCAATCAATGCAATCATTCTCCGCAGGCTAAAAACAATTTTACGGTACCATTAATCGAAGATAATTAATGTCTCCAATTTGTTTACTATTATTTATTTTATTCCTTTGTATTCCCAGTGGAACATGAGGTTTCAAGCTTCAGCTCTGAAGTTTCAGTAGCAGTGGTGTTTATTTCTTAAGGGGTGGGAGTTACTAGCCTCCCGCCCAACCTTCTCTCTTTACCGAATTTACTAATAGCTTAGTGAGGTTTAAGGTTGCGTCAACTGGGATTTGAACCCCGGATCACATGAGGCATGGTTGATGAACATTCTACCACTGAAACACCAACGCATAATATCTTCACTATTTCTCTACAACTTGATGGCTTATGACCCATGGAGTGAAAGGTACCCACTTCTGCACTGACTTATTCCCTCTGTGTCACTCATGCTCAGAGTGAGAACATCATTCATCCAAAAATTAGTGAGTAGATTAATAAGTTAGACTATTAAAAAGCTGCGTGACATAAACACTTCAAATGAATTAGAAAGAGTTGACAAGCAAAATCCTGTGTTCAAAACATAACACATATTATCAAATAGCCTTGCGTAATGATATTGACGAAGTTTGACACTAATCGAAAAAGTTTCTGAGATGGTTCAATTCATTTGTCAGTGTCTTCAGTGACCAGTACTTCTCTTTAAAAAAGCATATCCTGTATTGGAATTTAACTGGTCGATGGTGACTTGCAGTGGAATCCAGGATGCGCGTTTCGTCCTAGTTGGGACTCGTCATATGGATGTATCTGGATTTCCCAGTGAGTGCTGATGTTCCTACTGAGGCTGCAACCCAGTGCCAATAGTTTCAGACACCAAATCTTTATCCACTAGACCACTAGGGCCACGAGAACCACCTCTTTTGCAAAGGGTCATATTAATTTTAAATATTCAATATTGGTTTGTATTGAGTATTTTTGCGAAACACAACTGAAAGTACTCGACCTAGTAAACTGATTAATAAGGAATAAGTACTTAGATGTGATAAGAGTGAATATTCACTGTTTTGATAAATAACTCTAAAGGTCAATAACGAAATCACTGTTGTCAAGTTACGTTAAAATACATCTTAGTTGAGCAGTAGTCTTAGCAACTTCTGCTTCTGAAATCAAATGCATGCGCTTCATCCAATTTAGATGTACATTTTTCCCAATGATGCTTAAATCACTACAGTGATATTTATTTCAGCGGCTATCGGATAGTTGATGGAATCTGCAGCATTTGTAATTATTTCATTATGAAAAATGAATTGGTCAGTTTTTTGGGTCATATGAACTCCATTAATGGGTATCTTGATCCTGGTTATATATGTCTATCTAAAGTGTCTGTCATATTTACGCATCAGTCACTCCAATACATGCTAATTTTGTGATTCACAAAGTATTCCACCAACAGTCAGTTGACAATCATCTTAGGATATGACTTTTATTATCTTTAATAGTCATCTAGTTATGAACTGTTTACAATCTTCATTCAACACGCCTTACTCATAGATAAACTGAGATTAGCATTTTTAAGGTGCTCATAGCATCAGTGTCATAAACAGTATGACTGCAAGTTAACACTATATCTGCAGAACGAATATTCATTCACCTTCATAGTTGCAATTCCTTCACGTAAATTACAAAATTTAGTTAAACTTTGACTCAGTGTCTCTATGGTGACATCCTAGGTATAAACATTGTAAATTATGAATTCAATTTCATAGGCATAGTTCGTGTGATCTCCATTAAGGCATGCAAAATATTGGGAGCCATATTTGAAAGCGTTACTTTAAATGTACCTTTGGATATTGCTAGAATTACCTGGCGAATACTTTGGACTTTGCAGACAACTTATGTATCCAATGTATACAGACGAAAACAAACAAGTAAGTGGTAAAGGCAGGAATTCAGGTGAACATAGAAGAGACAGAGGTGGCGAAAATAGCCGACTGACACTAAACACCATTCACCATCCGCTGGAGGAATCAGAAGGAAATCGTCTCTTTCATCTACTTGAACAGCATAGTTTCAACTACATTTGGTTTGGATGAAGATATCAAAGCCAGGAAAGGAAAAGAAAGACTGGCATTCATTCCTCTCGAGTCTGTGTGGAGATCAGCAGCACCCAGCATGAAAAATAAGATCCGGATTTTCAACTCCAATATGAAGTCAGTGCTACTTACTATGAGGATAAGAGACTTGGTGCCGCGTCACGAAGGAGGCACTTCGAACAAACCACAAACTTCCATTAACAGCTGTCTTCCCTCAATACTACTCAAGATCAGGTGGCTGGCCAGAAAGGATCAGCAACAGGGATCTCTGGCAGTGAGCGAACCAACCCAGTAGGAACCGATTTTGCAACAAATCTGCAGGAAGAAATGGAGGTGGATTGGCCACACTTCTGAGAAAACCATCAAGTGACATCATACGCCAGGCCATCGCCCGAGTGGAACCCGAATGGGAAGCGGTGACTTGGTCATCAGTGAGAGGGTGACATGGAGGAGGTCATGTGAAGAGGAGGTGAAAGCATGTGGACGGAAGTGGAATCAGGTGAAAACCCGAACACAATTGAGATGTGAGGCTGAAGCCTTGTGTTCCTCTAGAAACTAAAGGAAACAATAATAGTGATATTCTCCATATCACCCTCCGATATCCAACCCGTCGCCTCCCATCTGGGTCCCACTCTAGGGCTTGGAGTGTGACGCCAGTCAGTAGCTTCCTCAGAGTATGTCCAGTCCATTTGTAAATAGTCCTGCACATTTGTTAGGCAGTATATTCTTAACTGGTCCTCTGAACTTCCAGAGTTCCTCGTTACCTATCCTTCCCCGTTAGATATTTGTGCTATAAACAGAACTCAACATAAGGAAAAATATTCAAATTTCTAATACTGATGTTAAGTCAGACTTGATACTTGTGTCACCGGAAACATTTCCAACAGACTGCAGACTTTTATCAACTTTGCCTTCACTCCATAATGAAGTTCAAATATCTAACGGGAAAGGATAGGTAACGAGGAACTCTGGAAGCTCAGAGAACCAATCAAGAATATACTGCTCAACATATTTGCAGGACTATCTGCAAATGGATTGGACATACTCTGAGGAAACTATTCAGTGACATCCCTCTTCAAGCCCTAGAGTGGAACCAGAATGGGAGGCGATGGATTGAGTGTCGGAGGGTGATATGGAGAAGATTACGTGAAAAGAAAATGAAGACTTGTGGACAGTTGTGTAGCCCGCTAAAATAGATTGCAGAGAACAGAGTGCATTGAGGATTTCTACATTTGAAGGCATTCATTATGACTTTAATTAAAATGTTCATGAAGGCTAAAACGCCACAGTAAGTTATTCAGTCTTATAGTTACATTTCCACTTGACTCATAATGATCTTATTACTTCAAATTTTTGGTTTTGACACGCAATTTGACTTTCAACCTCTACTTGTGAATTCAGTAACAACTTTATTAGGCTAGTCTATGCCTGAGTAAATAAGTCAACATGTCAACATACCAACAATTAGGAAGTCATCCACACTAGTAATTAAAAATATTCCAACTAACAACAAACAACTCACACCTGATTGTTAGATCACCAGGTAATATGAATTATGCATATCTGACCTAAGCAATTATTACAATTATACGGATACATTTACCGTAGGGAATAGCTTGTCCATCCTAGTCACCTTACAATTTAATCACTCTTATGTGCGTGCGTATGTGCTCTGTAGCTCCCATGCAACGCATAAATTTTAATCTGTTACTGGATCTCACAACATAATTACTGCAGCAATTATTACTACTATTATTATTACGTAACCA